CAAAACTTGTAGGAAGTGATCACAAATTTTACGATGACAATATCAAATTAGTTTAATATTCATCATAAGAAAAAGGAAAAAAAAATAAACGTACAATACGATTAAAATTAATAAAGTAAATAAGATCCCGAATTATTTGAAGTCCAAATAATTATAGAAACGAAAATCATTAACACTATTGACATTGCCTATAACTGTATATATTTATATTATTCTAAACTGTGTTATAAAAGTAAAAGAAAAAATGTTCAAATGTAAAAAACTCAATCGGTTTTAAACGCAGTTCAAGTAATTTATTTGCTATACATAATTTTACGTTCCAGTATAAACATTGAAAAAAAAAAGAACTCAAACCTTTGCTGCTCATTTTTGGTGTGTTATTTTAAGTACACTGAAATATTTCAATCTCAATGATTATTTACGTATGAAAAAATTACTCACATAAAGATTTGACATCAAAAATATTATAAAAAAAGAAGAGTCGAAAATAGTTTTTGTCAACAGTTCACCAAGCCTCTCCATGCCAAACTCGTGGAGAATGCAAATTTTAATAATAAAAAGTGCAGTACATGCAGAACTTAGTTCCAGTCCCAATCATCCCTAAAGAAACACGCAAACCTTCACACGCACATACATAAAATAAAGGGAGCGGTGGCTTTCGATGTTGCATTAGCGTGAATCAATAATCATGCCACATGTGTATTATATACACCTGCACATGTACGCCTACACAGAAACACCAAATGGAAGTACGACTGACTCTTCCGGCCAAATTTTGTACCCACGCATATATTTTATGTGTGATAACGTGAAGGGAGTATAAGAAAATAATTTTTTTAAGACTTATAAAGAATAATTGACTAGCCACTCCTTTTAATAGATGACTTTTGAGATATTGGTTGTAGTTTCGGATTATTGCTCTGATATAGTAAGAGGAAACTCAAGCACAAGAAACCATTCGGTAGAAACTTAGAAGTAACGCGCTAAGAGCCCTAATTGTTGTGGCAGCAATTCCGAGTGGTTGGTCGTGCGTCTATGTACTGTTCTCCTTTACAATATCTTGTTTTTCTCACGTTTCTCTTCCGATGACGAGGAAAATCACGCGTGGCAAGTGTATGATATTTTTATTAACGATGCTTTGTTTTCGCATCCACCTATACTCATCGGTCACATGATTCCATCAAAGTCCAGCGATGTTTTTTCCTGATAAATTTATCAAGCTGTATAATATCGATACAGCTTACTGTTTTTTTTTTTTTTTGTGTTATCTCAATAAAGAAGCTTGGTGATAAATGAAAAGCTGCTTTTCGAGATCACATGTTATTCATAAGTTTCCTGAACTTTAGAATTGAGGTACGTGCACACTAAAATATCTGTCTGTATGCATACGTTTGTTTGAATGTGAATAATCAGTCATGTTACAGAACTCTTTAGGAGATTTTCAAATTTTTTGAGTCACAAATTACGTTTGTTTTATAATTATTTTCACTTTGTCCATTTAAAGTTTGGACGCTTTATCAATCCGCCTCTTATTACTTAAACGATAATGAACAAAAAGTTATCAATGAGAAGTTTACTATATTTTTATGTGAGAAGAAAAGTAGTTTGAGCATAGCTCCTGTTTAAATTTTTTTTTAAATATTTTTCTGTAGTATTTTATTTTTTACTAATAATGGGAAAAACACTTTTTATGGTTTTTATCGGAAATCGATATTTAAAGTAAATTTTCAGGGTATATGAATTCGAAAAATTGCACATTTGTTCATGTGTCAGAAATGAAGTACATGTTTTAAAAATTTTGCTAAAAAAATTATTTGATGATTCAGGAACGTATGATGTAGAAATCATGCAAATGGAAGCGTGGAAAAACAAGAGTGAGCACCGTATTTCAATAATTTATTAAAATCTCGCTGACGAGCTATTCTAAAAAATCCATACGAATAATCATGAAAAAAACAAGCGAAAATTATTGTAGTGCATTCATTACAATAAAAGTTCTGAAAAACAATAACAAAATAATTGATGCGTAACAGCATCAAAAGTAATTTCAAATAAAATATTGAGAAAAAAGGGAAAAACATTGTACCCAAACTTGAGAATCGAATATGTTTTTTAATACTTTGCGTTATAAATTTTTTCTAAATAATTGCTAAATAATTATTCTATTAAATTTCTCCGGACTGCGGAAAAAGGCATAGTCTTCGTCCAC